GTGGAAGACAGTCTATGGTCTTGTGCAAGTCATTCGGTACGTTGACAATGGATCTTTTTATCCCTAATTGGTGATCAACACCCGGTTCTCGTATTTGCATGAAAGGAGTTCGGAGACCCACCATTCGCTCTTCGGTAGATTCCAATTCACTCAACCACTTTAGTACTTTTGTGAGGGGCGGGCTTCATGCTTGCATACGCGAACGGAATTCTTTTGTTTTTCTGTTTATGTGTAACCGTTTTTTTTTTATTGCAATCTACGTTCTTTGGCTTTGGCTTTTGCAGCCTCAGTAAATTTAGGCCTTGGCATCATTCTTTTCTTGCTTGAACCCTAACTTATGGGACTGGGTCAATCAGTTTGGATACTCCTTATTTGTGATATTCGCCTGAATTAGTATTGAAAACGATCCAGTTTGAACTGCAGGTTAGAATTTCTGATTCTTAATTAAAACAATAAAAACAAAAATATCGTTCAAATAATGAAGTTCTCCTTTATTCACAACTCAAGAAGTTTTTATGCGATCTCTCTGTTCCCATATCTCAAAAATAAACTCACCAACTTAATGTATAACAAAATTAAAAGTGGAAAAAAAAAAGAATTCGAAAAAATTATCTAACAGCATCGGTCGCCATAGCAGCGCATGCAATGACAAAGCATGCGCACTGTTTGTTATTACTCTTAAACACAGTTGAAAAGTGTGATGACGTCCAAATAAGGTGTGCGCGCCATCAAACCCAAAACAACACCCATTTTGCCATAAAGTGATAAAAAATTTAAAAAAGAAAAGAAAAGATCTTAATTGATTAATGGTTTAGCAAATGAGCAAAATTGGGACACTGTGCATTATTTATCTAATAACAAGGAAAAACCGGTTTCTCTATGAGGTGAAAACTGTTGGTTGGAATACGACTTTTTACGTGTAAGACCGTTAGTGGGTTAAGAGTCAGGGAATAAAATAAACATTTTAAAAATTTAAAAAAAATATATAAAAAACTAAATATCCTCGTTGGCAAACACGATCATTTCCGCAAACATCGTGCTTTCTTTGACGACTTTTCCTAAATGTTACTGTGCGTTAAATTTCCTCTTCAATATTCGGGGATAAGTGGGCTTGTTGACCTTTGGCATCAAATAACCCCAGAATTGAAATACAATGGTTTTAAGTCACATGATCTAAGGGACCAATTCTGTTCTCACAGTGTACACGAACAGGAAATGCTTTACGCAGTAATTGACTTTTTTGAAGTAATTTTTAATAATAAAACGGGTTTTTTTTATGTAGTGCTACATTTTTATCTTATCACTAGAGCCCGGATTTTGATGACCTAAAAAATCTCAATTAATGCCCTTAAAAAGTGCAAAAAATGCCCTTAAAAAGTGCAAAAAATGCCTTTAAAAGTGCTAAAAATGCCCTTAAAAAGAGCGAAAAATGCCCTTAAAAATTCGAAAATTGCGCTAAAAATGCCTTATGACATGATTTAAATAAAGTAAAAATTTTGAACTAAAACAATGTTTTACTCTTTAAAATTACTATGAGTCACTTTAAAAAATATAAAGCAATGCAATACTTGTTCATTAAAGTTTTAAAAATATGTTTTATATCCTAAAATAACAAAAAAAAGGAAAATATATTGACTCCAAAACTTTTTCATTTTGTATTAAAACTTTAATGAATATAACAACTTCCATCTCATAATATTACTAAATATAAAAATTATATTGGATTATTAATTTTTTTTTGATATTTTGAAAAGTAAACGAGCGAGCGTATACCTGGAGAAGCTTCTTTCAACGTCTACTGATGTTATTGGTACTTACTTGAAAAAGATGTTCTCGCTTACTGACAATTCTTCTTCAATTTGAAAAGATGTTGCTTCACCTGTTAATATCCTAGAGATTTTCTTCACAGTTTGGAAGCCAGTGTAATAATAAAAAATGATAAAAAAATAATAAAAATTGGAAAAAATTAACAAAAAAATTTAAAAATACTTTAAAATGCAAAATACGCCAAAAAATTTAAAGAAAAATGCCCTATAAATCTAAAAGAAATGCTCCAAAGGACAAAAGTGTCCAAAAATGCAAAAAAATGCAGAAAAATGCAAATGTTATTAAAATTCGGGCCTTTCATCACTCTACACTTTCAGCTGTCAAATTATTGGTTGTCAATAATGAATTATTTAACCTTCTAATTACTTCCTATCTTGCGTAAATATTGAGACTTCCTTTACTATGTTCATTTTTCTTGAAATTTGCTGCAAGAAACTTAGAAAATTGTTTTAAGAAAGTAGGTGAATTTTGGTTTGATATTATTATTATTATTATTCAAAAACCACTGATTTTTCATATGCTCTCTTTCAAAATTTAATTGGAAATTCTTGCAACATATTTTAGGATAAAAGTTATATATTATGGGCATAATATCTGTAAAAATTACTGAGTCAAATTGCTATGTCTTTTCGATTCTTATAAGTTTTATTCAATAGTGTATATCTTATATACTTTCTTGTGCAAAACAACAAAAGTTTTTCTTTTCAAAAAAATTAAAATTTTGCTGGTTTATACATATTTTTTTAAGATAAATAAACACTTTTTTAAAAAAAATATTTCTCTTATTTTTTCCAAATACTTTTGCAACTTTGTAAATTCGGTATTGACAGTAAAACTCGATATTTGTTTTCATTTGTATTACATATAATGAAGCAGAAAAGCTTGAAGAACAAAAAAAAAGATAAACATTTTTCTGTATTTGAATTGCAATAAAAGAACAAATTAATTTATTACAACTACTTGAATTTGATTGCAAAAACGATTGCATAGATCATATACTTTCCTGGAATTTGGTGGAAATTTTCATTCAGTATGAGACAGAGTCGAAATCAAGGTTCTCTAAAAATTTCAGAGTCTGAATTGGATTCGATTATTTTAACTTCTGATTCCACAGCTCCAAGCAGCACTACAAGACCTTGCACAAAACTGAAAACTATAAGAGTTCAGTGGACCTACACGTAACACGATTTCATATAAGTTTGTCCCACTTAGTTTTAACTTAAACTTATATTGGATCTCCTCATCGAAAATGGCTGTTGTATTACGATTTCAGTTCCAAAAGAATTTTTCTAACTGGAATTAGATTATTATCTTTAACTTAAGTTAAGAAATGTCGTATTTAGGGCATTTTTGTCGGCCCTTAATCAGCCCTTAAATGCGACACTCAAAGTACTTAAATACGACAGTGCAATTTTACAACGTTTTTATTCACTTGCTTCTGAGTCTCTAGCAATGAAATCTTGCTATTAAAATTTCGAACAATTTCTGATTAGCCATAATACTCCATTCCCGATGATAACACATGTATCATTCATTTCCTGATGAATGCAGGCAGCATTTATCGCAAATTTGAGGTTTATCATTAATCAAAATTCTGACCATTTTATGTCTAGATAAAGCACTTAAAATTCTACTAGAGTTCTGATCTGAACGACAAAGCAAGTTAAGACCATTTTTTGAATGCTATTTACAGAATTGATCACGATATTATTGTTGACAGGAATTTATCACTATAGCACATGCAAACTCTGCATATACAGACATAAATTTTTTGTTCGCACATTAATATATTTTTGTGCAGGGAACTGTCCTTGCATCTGAAAGGTCCTGGGTTCGAATCCCGGGCAACGCATGGAAGTAAGTTTTCATACATATACATAGCACGCAAAAACGCTTTGCGTGTTCATACATAGTATAGTATAGTGGTTAGATTCAAGAATAATTCAAACTGTACTTTACAAAAAAAAATTTGGATTTTACTTTGTCTTGATTTTTTTTCATTACGTATTTTTTCACTTACATTTTTTTGTTATTAATATTATATTGTTAATTTTTTGAAAAAATTAATGCATTTAGAATGTTTATTTTGGAAATTGCTCTTCATTATGAGGTTGCCAAGGGATTTGCACATTTTCTCGGGCGTTGACAGGTCGACGGAATAATACAAATGTACCTTAAAAATAGATTAAACAAACAATAGAATAAACTAAATCATGTATCATATTTTAACGTCATTATGCAAATCAAGTATCATAGTATTAAAGATAATCAGAAAAGATAGCAACCGGGGGGCGTGACCCTCTACTTTTTTCTTAAAATTAATTTGATAATTTCTGTTAGATATTTTTGTCACGTGATCGAATGATCTAAGGTGGTTCTGAATTACGTAGACATATTTCGAGGATCTTCATAGTTTACAATTAAGAGAAAAATAGTCAAAAATGGCTAACAAATTTCCAGAACATCTACAAAAAATCAACTACTTCGCATTCCCGAATTTTAAATAAATAAAGCAGGTTCAAGAATCACGTTGTATTAAATTTTAAAATGGTTTGTTGAAAAGAGTGCGTGAGAGGCGAAATTTCTTGCCGTTTTTAAAGTTTCTAGAAAATTTAATGGGAAAGTAATTATCAACAAATTGATAAAACAATTGAACTAGCTCTTGACAGAAATTAAAATGGATTATTCGCAAAAAATTTCCACTGTAACAGTGAACATTAATTTTAAAGTATATGTTTAGACACAAAAATAAAAATGAAACAAAATTACACTGTGCTTATTTTCATCATTATATTTAAAAAGCTTGTAATTTTTTTTCATAATCATGTATGGTTTTAATGAAGAAGTTTAAATGTTGTTAAGTTTACAAAGCTTGTGACTACCAAAAATATAATGGAGTTTGATACATGATAGTTTCCGTATCAAGAAATAAAAATATATAATTTAATAAGCAATAATGAGCAAATAATAAAAAGTAATAGGAAAAGATTAAAAAATACAATACATACTTCTTAATAGGGTATTTTTATAACGTAGTTTGAATATACAGGCAAATATATTGTCTTTTCTAGTGTTTGGAAGTGACTGTTATTACACTGCATTTTTGAACAATCGCAATGTAGTGAAGGGCTATTGTGATATATAATTTTGAAAATAAACAAACTGTAGAATAATTTATTTTATAATAAAGAAAATATTTATTTTTCTCTTCAAAACAATTTGATTGCTACTTCAGTAGTTCAACATTTATAAAATAATTAAAATTATTTCAGTTAAAAAATAAAAATGTATAAATTCCTGAATATTCGAAATCTTGACAGCATTTAATGCTTCAGCATTTGCCTTCAAAATGAACTCTATTTAAAACTGCAGCACCACAATCCTAAAAAAAATAATTGTATGTCGATATAAATTTTAATGAATCCTTATTTCCAAATTTAAAAATAATGAAACGTGTACTTAAATTTTCTAAAGGTAGTGTTTCTTTTGTATTCAAAATATTTTGAAAATTTCAAACTTAGATATTTTTTTTTTGAATCTTAAGCCTCCTTGCTTATTTTAAAAATATATCGGTCTTTTAAAAATAATAATTATTCTTATACTTAATGTTGTATTTATTTCAGATTATATGCTTGCAATTATATCTCCCTCATCTTGCGAAATTCTCCATATCCAGGAATTAGTAGAAATTTTGACATCACAAAAGAAACGTGTTGTGCTCCAGTGGGTACCTGGGCACTGTAGTATCTATGGAAACGAACAGGCGGATTTCTTCGCAAAGAGGGGAGCTTGGCTTCTCCGGCTAAAACATACAGAGATCTCCTACCACAGTATAAGGCTACATCTAAAACAAGTTTTTAAAAGAACTCTTGCTTCCAAATTACAAGAAAGAATAAAAGCCAAGCTGTGGAAAGATGACCTCCTGAATATCCCTAATGGTCCACGCCGTGAAGTGGTGGCACAGTTTCGACTCCTAACGGGCCACGACTGTCTGGCTGAACACTTGCACCGCATTGGTATTCTAAATTCACCTGACTGTCCGCTCTGCAACTTGGCAGAACTCATGAATAGGTGTGCTGCATTGCATTCCGGCTCTGAATCGTCGCTTTATTGTCAAGCCAGAGAACTTTTAAGGCAATGACTTCGATCATTCCGTTTAGTTTATTTATTCACCTGTTTCATCTTTGTATTTGTTTTCTGTGTTATTTCTTGTTTATGCCCTGCCATTGGAAATTAAAAAAAAAAAATAAAAAAATGTTTGCAATTTTTTTTAATCAAGTACAAACATACAGGGTGTCCCAAAAGGTCGTTTACAAACTTAGCATGCTGGTCTGTTATATCATGATGAACAAGATTTACATAGGAACTTGTGTCCGAAAATTAAAATTGAGACCGCTAGGGGGCGATAAGTGTAGGTTTGGATGAGGAGAATTAAAATGATATCGATAGCGGTGTTAATATGATTTTTATTATAAAACATCATTAATTCGCCGCAAATGCTCAAAATTCCTTCTATTCGCCACAATGCACGTTTCACAGCGTCGGCGCATGGATTCACGAACCCGTTCAAATTGGCCAGGAGTGTCACGGACACGTGCTGCCGCTTCCGCGATCCTGGCGATAAGATCCATGTCCGATGTTACAGGTGTCTCGTACACTATGGACTTCATGTGTCCCCACAGGTAGAAATCCAGGGGAGTCAGGTCGGGGGATCGCGGCGGCCATGGGACTGGTCCGCCTCTACCGATCCAGCGATTAGGATAAATCCTATCGAGGTATTCTCGAACAGCGTAGCTAAAGTGGGCAGGCGCTCCATCATGCTGAAACCAGATGTTTCGGCGTGTAGCGGCTGGAACGTCACCCATCAGATCCGGCAAAACTCTTTCTAAAAAAATGCGATAGGTATTTCCGTCGAGGCGTTCAGGTAGAAGGTAAGGGCCAATCAACATGTCACCGATAATACCAGCCCAAACGTTTACGCTGAAACGTTGTTGATGTGCATGGGCACGTGTACATCTTGGGTTTTCATGCGCCCATACGTGCATGTTGTGCAGGTTCACGACACCATCCCGTGTAAAGCAGGATTCATCAGAAAACAAAATCCATGATGGAAAATCTGGCTGTGCGACCCGCTGTTGCAAATACCAGCGTGAGAATGCAATGCGTTTGGGATAATCGTCAGCGCACAATGCCTGTACTTTTTGGAAGTGGTAAGGGTGTTGCATGTCATCGTGCAGTATGCGCATTATGGTGGAACGAGCTACACCCAAGACACGTTCGCCTTCTCGGAGACTTCTTTGCGGGTTGATGGCATACTCCTGTAGCACGGTTTCCTCTACGACAGGTGTGCGTGTAGCACGTTCTCGACCGATGTGGCTACGTGCTACGAAAGCACCTGATTCACATAATCTGCGGTGCAATCGTCCAAACAAAACATGACTTGGCTGACGTCTGTTTGGGAAGCGCTCAAGGTACGTCCGTGCCGCGGCTCGTCCATTTCCATCAGCGGCGCCGTATACGTAATGCATGTCGGCCATTTCTGCATTACAAAACTCATTCATCCTTCTCCTTCAACGTCCACGACTGAAATAATTGTGTTTCCCACTCTCCCGTTTTCGTGCAATTATCGCCTTCTAGCGGTCGCAGTTTTAATTTTTGGACACAAGTTCCTATGTAAATCTCGTTCATCATGATATGACAGACCAGCATGTTAAGTTTGTAAACGACCTTTTGGGACACCCTGTATATAATTTTTTAATCTAATAGGAAATTCACAATCAAAAATTTGAACTTTAGATATTAAAACATATGCTCCCGTATTCAGAGATTACCTAAATTATAAAATCGTTTAGTTTTAAAAATTAGCTAAAAAGTATAAGAAGATATTTAGTTTGTTTCACTGGTGGCCAAAGTTGATAAATTCAAATTTTACAAATTTTGCCAAAGTTGATAAATTTCTACAATTGAAACACACGTTTTTGGAATAACTATTTAATTAGATATTTCTGATCAAGTTGTTCACATAATAATTTCGTTTTTGTTAAGACAATGAAAGCTGTTCTTTTAGTGAACTAATATTTTAATGAATCACAATATTCGAGTCTAATCCAATACCTTTTGCCATCTTTCTCGCAATGGCGAGATTTCACTGGCACAAAATTTTTATATGTTGGCAAAAAAACATATCCAAGTGAATTTTGCTTATATTGAACGCTATTAGAATTTTCATTTTAAAACTGTAGTCAGATTAACGGCAACAGTCTGTTCTTCCAGTATACCGTACAGTTTACTGTATAGAATGTTTTGAACTTTAACGGTTTTGAAACCATTTACGAATAGTACGATTAAAAAACTACGAATAAAAACTGTAAGGATTTTTAACCATTTGCAAATAACATGACTTAAAAACCGCAAAATTGGAAATTTAGCTGGATAGTGGAGATAGTTTAGCAGCTTTATAGTGCTTCCATATATGCCTGAATGAGAGCATCGTATTTAAATTTCCGGAGTGACAAATAGGGGTGTAACACTTTTCATGTGTTACTCATTCTTTCAGTCATGATATTGACAGATAAGACCTCTCTGCTATAAAAAGCACCCATTTGAAGAAACTAAGTGGCTTCATTAGGAGAGGGGGCTCAGTTGGCGTAATGAAATTCTGGTTGCTTAACCGTATTAGGTGAAAGCTGTTAATAAACAGTTTTTCTCACAGTTTTAATGCCATCTTATTCATGATTATTTTACTGCTTTGTTGAAGTAAAGTATGGTAAAATAACAATTGAATAAATTGTTATTTAACCATTTTTTCCATGAAACTTCTAACAGTGAAGTAAAGATTTAACTGTTTAAAAATATTTAAATAAACCAGAGCATTGTTGTACATTGTTTCATTGTTTTTTGTCCTCAGGGAAAAAGGGCTTTAAAGAAATGGATAATTTTCTTGACGTTTGAAAATGAAATCATAGACATCAACGCGACGCCACGAGCTTCTTTCCGTAGGAGTAAGAATCCATATGTCGAGTAATAAGATTAAACTTTTACCTTTTCAAATGATCATGACGTGCGTCCGATACGATAAAGTTAATCACTCTGTGATCTTATGAATTTTGACTCGCAGGTTTGCATTGATTAATGATTTTATTTTGTCCTTATAAGCTTAAACTGGCTTAATGAATCTTCATGACTTTAATCGAAATTTTACAAACCAATTTGGTATTGCCGCACTGATAGGGCATCTTCTTGATACGATATTTTTTTCCTTGTTTGAACAGCAATAAAAGGGGGGCATCAGTTAAAAAAAACTGAGTATAATCAATCGCACTTTATCACAATTTATGCTATATCAACAGTCGAAATGCATAATGATTACGCAGCTTCAATGGCTGCTAAAAATATAATTAAGTCGTCCGTTGGGAAAAAGCAAAATTACTTTCCGATAAACCTAATATATAAAAAAAACACAATATGTAAGAGCGTCTTGTAACATATTATATTAAATATTAACGGTACTTACATTCATTTCCGTCATTTTCTGACATGCCTCAGCCTGCATCATATCAGCACACGTCGCCTAAAATGTATGATTGCTTTTAAAAGAAAAACAAGTAAACAAGTATTTATCAAGAAATTTTTATCTATATTTAACTACGGGGTAACAAAAAAAATATAGGGATCATTTTTTAATGTTTATATTTCCAAAATTCATTACATAAATGCAGCGATGCTTCTCAAATTGTCAACCTCCGGCATAATAGATTTGTCTACAACGCCTCGGCCAGGACTTTAAAGCCCGCAAAATGATTTCCTGGGGGATTTTCTTCACCTCTTCTCTAATAGCTCTTTGAAGGCCTCTCAATGTAAAAATTCTTCGCTTATTCAGTTTGTTTTTCAGATGTCCCCATAGGAAATAGTCGCATGGTGCAGCATCAGGACTCCATTGTTCTAGTCTCAGGAATCGCACTAGCTGATCTGTTAGGAATTTCTGGATGACCTTAGATGCATGCGATGGGGCAGAGTCCTGATGGAATACAGCATCACCATTAGGGTCACTTAAATCATGACATTTAGGTTTTTTATGGCATTTTTTCTTCAACTTTTGATTTAGTTGATAGCTTACAACTTGCTGACCCACGTTAAGAGCTTTAGCCATGCTTGCCTGTGTTGGTGGATCCGGTTTTGATGTCATCTTATCAAGCTTCTGCAAATCTGATTTCTTTGGCCGTCCACTTCTTTTTGGTTTTGCATTATTTTGCATCGATCCGAGTTTTGAATTCGTGATGCGACTGCTATGGCTGAGGGAAATCGCAATACCTTTCTTTTTAAAATGGGTTTGTATAATCCTGTGTCTCCAGCGAAGTTCTAAAAATGCTTGTACTTGACCCTTTTTGTCAAATTTCTTCAAAGGCATTTTTGTGATTTTAGGAAATAGTATTGCAATTGAAAGTCTAATAGCAGAGCTTTAGATCAGTAAGCTATATATGTAAAAAGGTTTTAAAACTTTAGTGTTAGATAGCCACAAAAGTGATCCCTATACTTTTTTGTTACCCTGTATATACAATTTGACCGCTTTTCCTGAACTTGACAAATAAGGATAAATAAGGACAGTGAATTTTTTTTGGAAATAAAGGTCCGCAGTAAATTCACTTCAAATTGCATTGGTCTGTTAACATGTTGCTAATAGTAATGGTATTGAAATGCTTCACATAGAAAAAAAAGCATGGTAAAATTTGCCAAGTTTCTAGCTCTGTGGGAACATTAAAAATATCGGTAATTTTTATAGAAGCTCGTTGGTAATAATTTTGGTAAAATCAACAATAAAAGTTTCATAATTAATATGTGATAAANTTTTTTTTTAAAATTCCGAAATATGGTGTTGCATTTTCTACAAACAGCAGTTTATTAAATGTGGTAAAATTTAGTAGTTTTATCACGATATCTTAGAGCCTGCCATCAAAACCATTCATTTTTATAAATTTGCTTTTCAGTTTTGTAATTTTTTGCTAAATGTGTGGTAATAAGATCTATAACTTTTAAAATCAGAATTTCCGGTAAACTGTAATCATACGAGTGGTGGAAAAATCACCATATGAATGGTTCAAGATTTTTTTTTCCACGTTGTGAAAGATCCCGTCTTCCGATGATTGCATAATGTGTATTGGAAATGAGTGGGAGAATTCCTCTAAAATGCGTAATTATGCGGAAGATTTTCTGTCCCATTTTTGAATTGTTGAAAATGCTATAAAATCACAATCCATATACAGAATGAAGATGAGCTATAACTAAGAATGAGGAGGTGAGAAAAAGAACAAAAGCGGATGTAACGGTCGAAAAATGGTAAATTTTGTTCGTTTCACTTATTTTGGGAAGAAAAAATAAAAGATTTTCCTTAATTTGTAAAATTACATTTTTTTGCGTAAAATTATATTTTAGAATATGACATTATACATTAATAACCAGATATTGACTAAATTTGACAAAATGACCAAAGATGAAATTCATGACAAATTTGAACATATTTTTCTTCAACCAGCGATGGTAATATTTTTTTTTCGGTGTAAAACTGAATACAGAAATATCCGTTAAGGCATTTCTAAACGGTCTGTTACTCGTCAGAACAAAATTTTCGTCACATCTATACAAATACGTGATTTTGTCTTATTCAGGAATGTGGTCTCTAAATCTGCATTTTGTTTCTCTTTATAAGCTGCAGATTGTTTTTAAATAGTATTTTAGTCGAAATATGTACATTTAAAAATGTTATATATAATAGGCGGACATATAAATTTTCTGATAAACTTCTACAGATTTAGGTGTCATCATCAAGAACACAATTGCATAAAAACTCATGCCCCGAAATATTGGTGACTTGTGGTGCTTCTGTATTAGTACCTGACCGGAAGAAAACAAATTAGCAGTTCATAATAAGGAAACATCCCTAGAGGCGTACGACAACAATTTCTCGTGTTCTCCTGTGTAATTCTAATTGTTATGAAATGCCCTAATTTTTGTAGATATTTGCCATATTATTTATGTGATCTCTAGTTATGTAAAACACATTTAAACTTGCGTATCTCGACAAAAAATAGACTAAGAATATCATTTAAAAATATGCTGTTGCTTGAAAAGAGAAACACCTTGCAGATTTGAAATATTCGCAGTGAAATTATCCGAAATCCGTTAAAATATCTCCTGTAATATAAATCCAAATTTTAAAAAAAATGCTTCTCTGTGATTATCCGACTGTGAATATTCATAATCATTCCATGTATGCATGTTTTAACACAAATGATAACAAAATTATAACTGTTTGCTATCAACCAACAATAACAGAATTGAATTTTTGAGCAATTGGACCTGAAACACGTAGTTAGAAGCAAAAATTGAGTTTTTCTGTTTGGTTTTCCGTTACAGAATTTAGGTAAAATCCTAAACAGAAAAAAAAACAGTCTGAGGATTCTAATATAGTAATGTATGCTAGAATACAAGTTAGAAATTGATGATTCATTACACGCAGAAGCGCTTATTTCATTTTAAGAAATCTGTAAGCACAAATACAAGTTGCACTAACGCTACGAACAGCTAGAATAAACATTTAAACACAAGACAATATTATTTCATATCGTAAACTTCATTATTTGAAAACAATCACTCTTTATGTTTTTTTTTTGAAAGGCAATTTACAGTTTTTTATTCTATGCAATGGCAGTTGTGGGATTACCTGGATCTTATGAAAAACTTTATATAAAGTTTTTCTAAATTTGAATTCAGATTTATTATTTTTATTTTTGTTTTAGTTTAGTTAAATTTCGTATTTAAACAAAGTACCCATTCGAGTGTTCCTGCTTTTCTCTTTTACTACGTCTGTTGCGGAGAATCTAACAATTCTCTTAGTTGATCCGGTTTGATGTTCTGCGAAAATTAAAATTGCTAGAATGTCTCCTCTTTTGACGAAGTCTTCTAGCAGTTTTTTCATATTTATTTAATCAAAACTACATACAATCAACCAGTGTATTTCAGCCATTAATGATTTTTATCGTAGCCCCCTAGTTTATCGTACCTGATTTTTTTTTATTGTTTAAGAGAGCTCTAAGACAGCTCTTAAGACATTCAAATATTTCCAAATTGCTTTTCGAAACAAATATATTATTTGCATCATAAATAAATTATATATTTAACTATCGTTTTTCTTATCATCATACTGTATATTTTTTCACCTTTTTAGAAAAAAATATTTTTTAATTATTTTCTACATATTTATATGTTTTACATATTATATAATTTGGCATATTCAAGAACAATTTTTGAAATGTTATTATTGATTTTAATCAGTTCTTGAAAGGTACTGATTTTATTGCACTTATAGATTTTTATTTCATATTTTCCATTTACATTTATGGAATAATTCCCTTAGAATGTTGTTTTTAAGTAGACAAAATGCACATTGTAAAACTCAATACTATGCAGTAAAAGAATTTTTCACTTAAGATGCATTTTCAAGAGTTTGGTAGACTCAAAATAGGCAAATCATTAGTCCATACTGCCAACATCATTTTAAGTTTTGAAATCAAACACAAAAACGAATTTTATTTCATAACATTTTATCAACGGACTTGTATTTTTTAAAACTTAAAAATAAATAGAGGCTTGATGCAATTTTAGTTTGCATATGTATTGAGTTTTCTATTACAAATACTTACTGAATATTCCTCTACTGCACTCCGAGTAACTTCGAACATAATATCTTCCTTTAAAGAAATAAATACGTTATTGGAATTACACTAAAACTATACTCTTCAATATAATAAATAAAATTTTAATTGCTCTTTAAAATGCTGGTGTTCAAATGAAAATAATTTACAAAATTGAGTGATTATTTTCATAACCACAAGGAAGATTTGAATGAAATTTATTTTGATAGTAATAGTTGATATAATGCGAAAAAAAAATTTAAGTCAGTTTTAATAGAGGTGGAGGATTTTTCATTTTTACCGGAGACAGAAATGCATAAAATTGATGTCGTAGAATGGGATCAAAAAGTCAGTTGTATGACCCTTAAGAACATTGCCTAGAGAGATTTCGCGTGTTAATTAAGGCGGTTTTTAAATGCAAGCGCTATTATCCCTCTTATTAATGCTCTTTTTTGCCTTACGTGGTTTTGAGCGAATGATTGAGAGTTCCAATTGTCTTGCTTAAACTCTTTAAGAGATCATTTGATATACGCAGTCTTGCCAGGCCAACGCTTTTAATAAATATTCCCCCCAGACAGAATGAACGCCATTCTGCAGTGTGTTGTCTTCGGTTAAATTAATTAAGAGTCACTGTATACCTGTAATTTAAACCAAACAAATGCTTTCGTCATAGACATGGAAGGGAACTATCAAACCAGTCCTGTCATATTAGTTGATTTTTCAGATATTGAATAATTGTAACAAATTATTCCCCTTGGATTTCATTATGTGAAAGTATGCAAAATTTTTACTAGGGACCTGCTATTTGCATTTATCATAGAAATTTTTTTATTTTGACAAATGAGTTTATATTATTTTTTGTCTTCTTCTTGAATGGCTTTTCTGCTTTTGACGAATGCACTTTGTCTGGTTGAGTTTGCTTATGATACCGATTTTAATTTCATGAAAGACAACGCAAAGCCATATAGAGTCTATCAGATTGAAAATTTTCTAGAAACTCAAAATATTCGCTTGTTGGATTGGCTTGCCAGTTCTTCAAATTAAGGGAACAAGTTTGAGACACTCTGTGGAAATTATGTCCTCTCTCTTTCACTCTAAGAGAAATTATTTAGGATTAAGTGAATAAAATAATAAATTACAGTGTGAAAAAAGCATGGTCAAAGCTACAACAATATGCTAAAATTTATGATGTTTCTGACTCTATGGGAACACAAAATCCTTCGAAATTTCCCCTGAAGTGTTTTGGTAATACCCCACCGGAACATCAGCTTCTTCACCCCAGAGCCAAAGTCAAGAAAGCTTGGCCCTCTTTGGGCTGTCGTGCCACCGAGTTTAGTTTTGGTAATGATCATGGTAAAATTAACAATAAAATATGGTTTTATGATACGTGATAAAATTTGGTGAATGTAATTTTTTTTTTAAACGGCAGGCACTGAACTTTCACTCTTCGCCTAGGAAGATGCCGGAGGTGTTACTCATTTAACGTTACCCAGTGGGCACCTGTGAAACTAAGTCACGGAGGCGAGCAACATTACCCACGCCACACAGCCACATACTCGTTTATAGGGTTGACCACATTCACACATCACACAATAGAGAACACACACAGAGAGAAACATCCATGCCCTGAGCGGGATTCGAACCCGCAACCATTGGCTTCACAGTCAGACACGCTGACCGCTCGGCTACCTGGCCGGCCGGTAAATGTAATTTAATTATGTAATTTTGCCATGATATCTTAGAGCAAGGGTCCCCAATTTTTTTCGGTTGTAAAACTCTAAGTGATCAACCATCTTTTGACGGAACTCCAAGATTTAATGAATATACTTCATTAGCAATTGTAAGCAGATTAACAAACAGAAGACTATAAACTATTTTTTAAAATCTGTAATGATCCCAATTTTATAAATAATTTTGAAAATATTTAGTGGATGAAATTGTTCCATTATATCGTTTTATTAATTTTAATCTTGAAATCTGTTTTTATGTCAAACATTGGAATTCCAGAGTACTGGAGTCACATCTATAGTTTGTATTTTAATTTTAATTTCGTGCATAAATAGTTCGTGCCGAAAATAGGTTTCCATTAAAATAAAAACAAAAAAGAAAATAAGCGTAGAGAATGGTTTTCAGCGAAACATATTTCTTCATTGTCGAATTTGATTATTTTTATTCAAAGTGAAATTCTAATATATTTTTTCACAAAGGCATATATCCTTTCCATTATTAATTCATGACATTGTCATCAGAAAAAAGAATTTTGGTTTAAAATTTCTTTTTTTCACAAGCATTTGAATTAAATTTCGTAAGAATTTCCTAATTTCATAAATAGAACGGAACTATTAAATAAATAACAGATTATTAATTGGATATAAATTTAATTTTAGGCTGCAAAAATTATAACGAGAGCAAAAAAATTTTTAAATTTTGGAAACCCCTATTATCCTTTCGCGAAATACCAATTAGGAAGCACAGCCATTAGAACATAGCATAAAAACCATTTTTTCGTTACTATTCAGTTTTACGATTTTTTTACTAGGTGTGTGATAATAATATATCTGATTTTCAAAACCTGAATTTCCAAAAAAATTTTACCGCATAAACGAAAAAATTTCCCAAATGATTGCTTAATTATCTCTATTTTTGTTTTATTTATCAGAATGTTGGTTTTTTTTACCAGAAATGTCAATACCACACCGTACGGTAAATTTACCAGATTTGTTTTCTTTCACCTTTCTGTCTTTACCAATTTCTTTTTCCAGTCAATAAAAATATATAAACACGTTTGTCGCTACGATTTCATTCAGAAAATAATACAGATTAGATGTCTTTGCAGAAAATTTCCCCACGAGTTCTGCAAAGTATTGTTTTATACCCTGTATATTGTAGTTGTTGGAGGTTAACGAGTTGCAAGTATCTTCCTTTAGGCGTACTGGCCATGCTGATTCCCAAATTTTGCTTCATGGAAATATATTGCTTCAAGAAATGTTTTCCCGTTCTTGAAGAAACGTTAAGGCATATTTAAAATTAAACATTTACTCATTAAACAAACATTAAAGTTTAAATTTAAAAATAAAATATAGTACTGCTTAGTTGAAATATTGTCTGCATGAACACAGAAGTTGCCATTAAATGCATCAATTATTTCTTGTTCACTTGTTTAGAATGCATAGCTATGTCCAAATACATACTTTAAAAATTTAAAAAAATTTTTTATTGGATATGAAATGCGTTTTTTTTTTTAAATTCAATATCTAAATTATTTCAACTGATTCTCGATAGAAAAGTATTTGTATACAATTTAAAAAAATACCAAACATAGATTTGTCTTAGAATTCTTTAAAAGTAAACTTCATACTTTTTAAATTAATATTTTTTTAATAACAATCCACTATAAAAAATTTTTTCAAATTTCTGCAAATTTTGTAATTAGAGATGCCAACTGCTTCATATTCGACGCAAAAATTTAAAAAAAAACGTCAGAGAGCAAAAAACTAAAATGCTACTTTTCAGTTAATTTTGTGAATTTTTTTAAAGGCTCACTCAACATGGGGCGAGTTCCCACAAATTGGTCTCTCACATAAGCTCTCGAATTACTAAGACGTAGTGGTAATTAAAAACCCTGTAAATGCAATAATTAACATTAAAAGACTATTACTCGAAAATATTTATCTGCTGTCCGGAGCAAGTTGGCATCGCTGTATATTATATATATATATNAAATAGAACGGAACTATTAAATAAATAACAGATTATTAATTGGATATAAATTTAATTTTAGGCTGCAAAAATTATAACGAGAGCAAAAAAATTTTTAAATGTTGGAAACCCCTATTATCCTTTCGCGAAATACCAATTAGGAAGCACAGCCATTAGAACATAGCATAAAAACCATTTTTTCGTTACTATTCAGTTTTACTATTTTTTTACTCGTTAGTTCTCATCACATTCTATTTTTTTACTCGTTAGTTCTCATCACTCGATAAGTTCTCATCACATTCTTTAGCTGTCTCTCAGGACTTATCAATATAAAATAAGTCTAATCAAACTAAAATAAAATTGAAAACATATCAAGAAACTCTTTTTAAAAATATCATCCGAGAGGGTTACTGAAACAAAGTGTAGTATTCGAAGAGTATGCTCTTCACGAATTCTAAAATGAGGAGCATTCTCATACAACATATACCTGTTCTTCTCCATCCATTTTGCACATCTCATTGAACGCTGCTTTCATGTCTGGCCAATCTTTCGAGGCATAACTCGCCACCCGTTTTACAACCTTCAAAATTTTCTAAAAAAAAAAAAGAAAAAAATGGAAAAATTCAGTGGTAGATAGATGGCAGATTTCAGTGTAAGATACACCAGATAAATAAACACAAATTTTTATTTCAATTTTTTTTTCTTTTACCAAATCATTTGAAAGATGACAAGGAAAAAATAGGGAATAAATCTGCTTCATTAGGTTTTATGGATAATTTTATTTATTTATTAATTTTTTTTTTAGATATTTTTATTTGCTGTTAAATGCTTTTGTCTTTTAGGAAAGAAACAATTGTGGAGTGATTCAGGAGAGATTTCTTTTTTTTTTCTTCTCGCAATTAAAAACAAACTATTATTTCAGTTTTTACCAAGCCATTTAAAAGACATCCAGGAAGAAATCTGCAACGTCAGATTTTGCGGTTTATTTACTCAAGTGATTCAGGAGAGATTTCTTTTTTTTTTTCTTCTGGCAATTAAAAACAAACTATTATTTCAGTTTTTACCAAGCCATTTAAAAGACATACAGGAAGAAATCTGCAACGTCAGATTTTGCGGTTTATTTACTCTTTTTGCTACAAAATGCTAACTATTTCACTAAGGAAAGCTACAATTTTAGAGTGATTCCGAAAACATTTTTTTTCTTGCTACCAGATAAATAAAAACAAACTGTAATTAAAGTTTTTTACCAAGTTGTTTAAAAAGTACCAAGGTGAGACTGAGGCAGAAATCTGCAACGTCCGATTTCATGGATGATTTTCTTTTTTTTCTATATGGACTTGCACCACGTTTTTAGTTAAAATTACAGATGTAGCTTTGAATCTGGAAATTAAAGAAAGTTGTTTCATATTATGGGGTACCTGCAAGTGACGTAGCGTACGCATCACGATCTTGATTGGTTTTTGAATATGACATTTGTTTGCGTTAGCAACTGTTCTTTCCATTATATTCCGAGTAAGCCAAGCCCGTCTTTTAACTATACTGTATATTTCTTAATTTACACACAGATATTAAGCGATGTAGAACGTAAGCCAACTCATTATGCATTGAAGTTGCCAGGTACACAAAACAGAAATATATCACGGCTACAATAAAATGCATTAAACAAAAAATAAATAAAAGTTAAGTAAAAGACGTAGAAGAGAAAGAATTATATTTCAATAAATTCGATATGTGATACTGCGCTGTATTTAATTAATTTCAAGGTTAATTATCTCTCTAACTTATGAGGAGAAACTTAGATCAATTTTAACACTCCATTTACGGTCTTTTTTTTTTTTTTTTTTTTTTTTTTTTTTTTTTTTTTTTTTTTTTTTTTTTTTTTTNTGGTGAATATTGTAGAATTACATATTGTTTATAATAGAAAGGTGAACAGTAGTAACGTAGTTATACTATTGGAATTTCTTCAACACGGCAACAGAGGTCTGCATGATTGTTCATCGGAAATTGCATTAGGTTATATTAGTAGAAGACTTTAAGAGTGTGTACGGTACGCAAATAAAAGACGTTATTGAAGTTTTACTTCTTATGCGACTTCCAACAAGGTTGCGTTAAACGTTTAACGCTACATTTTTTATTGGCCGAGAAATCACGTGGCAGAATCCAGTTTTACCTCATTCATTTCCATATTGTTTTGGTTCTCACTAGCATAAAAATAATAAAAGTCATAAAAGTATTGTTTTTCTATAAATATTTTTTTAGTTTGTTTTGATACACACATAATTTAATAGGGTAGTATTTTTTATTTTCAAATTTAGTGGATAACAATTGTAAAAAATGAGTGAAAACAATCCCACGGACAATGCGACGGATTTAAGGTTATGTCAAGGTACGTCTCTTGTGAATATCAATTGATTGTTAGGTTTTCTCTTTTGAAATTACATTATGACGCATTCACATACATTATTAATACAAATACATTTTCCAGGGCGAGACGATGAGGCAACCACAAGCACTTCCACTGGTTCAAGAGGTCCACGAGGGAAAAATGCACAATATTACCGTGATTACAGAGCACGGAAGCGAGCGGAGCAGGAAAAAGAGTCGTTGAATAGAACTAGTGATCCTTCTACGACTGCTGATTCTTCTACAACTAACGTCGCAGATTGCGAAGTTTAACTTCTTCCGCGCGGAGGGACTCCACGCACTATTTTTTTAGTCGATTTTTTTTCCTTTTTTCTTATTATTTTAAGTTTAAAAATTAAATGCTCTTATTATTTTGTGTACTTAAAATATTAAAGTAAATTATTCACTTTTAAGGATTTTTTAAAATCAATGAATTCTCTACCGTATTTTGTATTAGGAATGTAGTCATAAATTGTTGTTGTTACTAATGCTACTTGCCAATACCAGCAAGCCTGCTATGGGAAGCAAGCGATTTGAAGGCAGAGGGTGTTTTTTTTTGGTCATTCGTGGTGCCATCTATGGCCAACAAAAAGACTTAAAGCTCACGGACGTCGTATCCCGTTTTACAGGGAAGATCCATTACTACTCCATTTATTCATACACACATCGTAATTTTAAACTGAACCAGAGAATAATCAACCTCTAATTCAGTACCCTAATAGTATTTTATTTTATTTTATGACCGTCGTTGAACATGTCGTTTTGGGCTTACGACTAACAATGTTCAAAACCCGTAGCCTTGTAATTTTGAGCCCAATGCAGAAGACAAGGGAAATCCTGGATCAAGTATCGGGAGAAATTTGTCTTTGTGGGGGACTTTTTGGTGAAACAAACCGGCATTTGCGTCACATGGAGAGGTGAACCGCGAAAACTTCCCACTTGTACCGCAGAGGTATAGATTTGTCATGGGAATTTAAAGGACTTAAAGGACCCTGATAGATTTCGCACACATCAGTCACCATTTAATATACTGCTATTCCGCGGCTGGCGGAATTCAAGCTCATGATCTCACGAGCACGAGCCCAACGTCCTACCAACCAAGCTATCCCAGTTCCTATGTATATAAAATGTTATTCAAACAGTTTAATTTTGCCCTTATAAAGACTGATATCATATTTATAAACGAACTTACATCTTCTGGTGTAATCTTTACACATGCATCATATTCATCATTTATCTCTTTATCTGAAAGTAAAATATGTATTTTATTGGATAGCAGCAATATCTCTAGGTGATTCAATACTAGTGAAACAATCTTCAATGAGCGGTAAACTTCAAATGCAAGAAGATGTGTATCTAGAGGCGGCTAATTTTGGATGACCTTCACAGTATTCCGTCTGCTGCAAACGATATGGGTAATTAAATAATCAGGAATGACATAGTAAGTTTATAATCAGAAAAGTCAATTTATTTTCAACTTATAAACAATTTCAATTTTCACAATGGATTCGTTTTTCTTTCCATGATGTCTGCGCGTGGCTACTGATTACGAACCGGTACCAGCTTCTAAATATGCCATTTATAGCTTCCTGCGATCCTGCTTTGTTACATAGTACCGGATATTTATCTGAAATTCACTCATTTTCGAAGTTTGTTATTTTTCCGTAAAAGAATTAGCTAGTATGGCATAATCCTTTCCTGGAACATACCATATTTGACGCACCGGTCATTTATTTGTATAGCACTCCTTTTTGAAATTTGGTTATCTTTTTTTCATAACATAATAAGCTTGTATGACATAAAAATTTGACGTACAGGGAGCGTACAGGATGAGACGTACCGGACGTTTATTTGTACTGCACTCTTTTTTGAAATTTAGTTCTCTTTTTTCCTTACATAATAAAAGCTTGTATGACATAAAAATTTGACGTACAGGGAGCGTACAGGATTAGACTCACCGGACGTTTATTTGTATTGCACTCTTTTTCGAAATTTAGTTCTCTTTTTTCATTACATAATAAAAGCTTGTATGACATAAAAATTTGACGAACAGGGAGCGTACAGGATTTTACGTACCGGACGTTTATTTGTACTGCACTCTTTTTTGAAATTTAGTTCTCTTTTTTCATTACATAATAAAAGCTTGTATGACATAAAAATTTGACGTACAGGGNATCGGGAGAAATTTGTCTTCGTGGGGGACTTTTTGGTGGAACTAACCGGCATTTGCGTTGCATGGAGAGGTGAACCGCGAAAACTTCCCACGGGTACCGCAGAGGTATAGATTTTCGCTTAAATCAGTCACCATTTAATACACTGCTATTCTGCGGCTGGCGGAATTCAAGCTCATGATCTCACGAGCACGAGCCCAACGTCCTACCAACCAAGCTATCCCAGTTCCTATGTATATAAAATGTTATTCAAACAGTTTAATTTTGCCCTTATAAAGACTGATATCATATTTATAAACGAACTTACATCTTCTGGTGTAATCTTTACACATGCATCATATTCATCATTTATCTCTTTATCTGAAAGTAAAATATGTATTTTATTGGATAGCAGCAATATCTCTAGGTGATTCAATACTAGTGAAACAATCTTCAATGAGCGGTAAACTACAAATGCAAGAAAATGTGTATCTAGAGGCGGCTAATTTTGGATGACCTTCACAGTATTCCGTGTGTTGCAAACGATATGGGTAATTAAATAATCAGGAATGACGGGATAACTTTATAATCAGAAAAGTCAATTTGTTTTCAACTTATAAACAATTTCAATTTTCACAATAGATTCGTTTTTCTTCCCATGACGTCTGCGCGTGGCTACTGATTACGAACCGGTACCAGCTTCTAAATAAGCCATTTATAGCTTCCTGCGATCCTGCTTTGTTACATAGTACCGGGTATTTATCTGTAATTAACTCATTTTCGAAGTTTGTTATTTTTTCGTAAAACAATTAGCTAGTATGGCATAATCCTTCCCTGGAACATACCATATTTGACGCACCGGACATTTATTTGTATTGCACTCATTTTTGAAATTTAGTTCTCTTTTTTCATTACATCATAAAAGCTTGTATGACATAAAAATTTGACGTACAGGGAGCGTACAGGATTAGACTTACCGGACGTTTATTTGTACTGCACTCTTTTTTGAAATTTAGTTTTCTTTTTTCATCACATAAAAAGCTTGTATGACATAAAAATGTGACGTACAGGGAGCGTACAGGATTTGACGTACCGGACGTTTATTTGTACTGCACTCCTTTTTGAAATTTAGTTCTCTTTTTTCATAACATAATAAGCTTGTATGACATAAAAATTTGACGTACAGGGAGCGTACAGGATTAGACGTACCGGACGTTCATTTGTATTGCACTCTTTTTTGAAATTAAGTTCTCTTCTTTCATTACATAATAAGCTTGTATGACAAAAAAATTTGACGTACAGGGAGCGTACAGGATTAGACGTACCGGACGATTATTTGTATTGCACTCTTTTTCGAAATTTTGTTCTCTTTTTTCATTACATAATAAGCTGTGACTTAAAAATTTGACGAACCGGGAGCATACAGGATTTGACGTACCGGAAGCGTACAGGATTTGACGTACTGAACGTTTATTTGTATTACACTCTTTTTCGAAATTTGTTTATCTTTTTTTCATAACATAATAAGTTTGCATGACATAAAAATTTGACTTACCGGGGACGTACCGGATTTGACGTAAGGGACGTTTTTTTGTAGCAGGCAAACTGTTTTTTAAGTTATTATTTCATGTTTTGATAAATTTATCTCTTTTGTATTAAGTAAAGTTTCATGGAGTCATTANTACCGGGGACGTACCGGATTTGACGTAAGGGACGTTTTTTTGTAGCAAGCAAACTGTTTTTTAAGTTATTATTTCATGTTTTGATAAATGTATCTCTTTTGTATTAAGTAAAGTTTCATGGAGTCATTAAGATAATGTGTCAAGCATTGCACACCAACCACATTTACATCCCAGACAAGCTGGTTAAACTACTACCGCAGCTGAAATTTAAGTTCTTTACAATAACAGTTATATGTTTTTGTATTGTTTTTACTATAACAGTTATATATTTTTGTTAAGAGTTATACGTTTTTATAGAGAAAAGGTCAGCTGGTTAAAGTGTGTTAGATGTGTCATCTCTAACAATTGCATGCAGTTCGCTTGAACTTTCTATCTGTTTGAACAAAATCTAGCCCTAAAAATATTTTACTAATTATAACTTATGTTTATATTGTTTTTAGTTATTAAATTTCCGAACTTTCTTGAAAAGTTTGAAAAAAAACCTACTTGAAATGTCTAAGGTAAATGTGATGGGAAAAAATTTTTGAATTTCTCCGGGCCATTATTTTTCCTTTTTGTATTTACAATTTTGCAGTTCCATCAGCACACTAGCCGTGAATAAAAACTAAAATTAAGATGAAATAAAATTAAAAACAATGTAAGTATATTTTTAGTAAATACACTACGCTGTTAGATATTGACCACTTGGAAAAATATTCCCTTTTAAACATACTTAAAGTAGAGTCCTTGCATCGAATTAGAGGTTTAAGAGTTACGAATTCTCTTTGACTGAGGAATTGTCTTATCTTAGGGATTATCTATCTTTCTTAGAAATTACCTCTAGTAGAAAGCTTTGCAGACGTACTAAGAAAAATGTTTATATAGTACCTAAATTTCATGCAGTTTAGCGTGTCTTTTGGCATCAGTAATAATGATCTAAACAATGTGAAACTCGAAACAGTTAACACGATTTTGATCTGGATTAGGAAAAGAATTTTTTTAGAAAAGTTTTCATTAGCTGTGATGACCGTCTGCGATACCTTTGGTTTTCGGACAATTTTGAAGCTGCAAGTCGAAACTCTCTAATTGCATTAAGTATATAAACTCTAGTTACAAACACTGGGGCAGAATTATTTCAGTGCGTTGCGTGGACCAGTTGAACATAAATTTAAAAATTATATTCACCTCCTGAAATGCATTTAATCCATTTCCTGCAAGGTCCAAAGTGTATCACTTCCCCTACATCGTCTGAACGCTGGGGCTTAGGCAGATTAAAACCCCGTGCAGTGTTGAAAACCATACACATTAATATCACGTTAATAAGCATCTTGCTCACAATACTCCTAATATAATATGAACTTAATTTAGTATCTGTTCTCAGCTATCTATAAATTTTACTTAGCTCAATCATCTTTAAATATGTGAAAAATAGCTGTGTAAACAAAGCAGCGAGCGTGCTTAATTCTGAATGGGGAAGTTATGCTTAAAACAATGCAAAGATCATTCCACGCTGGACTTATTTTCCTGGTACTTTGTTTTTTTTTTGAAGAACATGCAGAAATATATATAATAACTTTCATTTTAATATTAAATAAAAGTTTTTTATTGAATCTTATATTCTAAAACTTGCGCAGCTGATTTCCAATTTCTTTTGTATTGCAGTAATAAAAGAAACATTGCTTTGCTGCTGTGAATTTCTATTGCTATTGTTTTTCCTGTTTATTGAGCGTATTTAGTTTTTTGCGTTTGCTTTACTAAAAAAATAGTTTATTATTTACTATGTATTTATTTTACACAGACTGTGATTTATTGGAAAGAAAACTTGCATGGGCGGAAGAGGATGGAATAAATTGGCGTTGAATGAAATTATATTCTTTGAAATTTAAAACCTGCATCTTCCAGTTTAATATTGTAAAATTTAACATGTTTCCTTTAACTCGAAGCAGTTACGAAAAATTTTTGTATGCCAAAGTAAATAACCAACAGCTATTATCTGAGAAAAAAACCATCTTTGCTCATTCGGGAAGTGGTTACATACATACAGAACTCAAAAATTCTTAGAAGTACTACTTGCCCTGCTGGGCACGATTATCTTTTTCAATAACCTAAAAATGCCTATGAATGCTGCGATAATTAATCTGCAGAAAAATATATTAATCACATAGATGAGATTTTTATTTTAAATATGAACCTGAACCTCAAAAAATATTAGCAATGAAGCATTATTATTAAAAAGGAAGTTATAAGTATTGTTGACGAGAAAGAAGTATTATTATCAGAATTAATATGTATTATCGGCATGTTTATGCACTTTAACCTGATTCTTTAAGAGGAGGATATAAACCTTTATTACATTGTTTTCTCATGCACCGTGATTGGGGTGATCTTTTTTTTTAAAATTAAAAGTGAGCTTGGCTAGAGAAATAAGAAAAGTCATAAAGTGGGTTTAATTTATTCTCATTTGTATAATTTCATTAAATAATCTTTATGTTTTATTAAACTATAATCGATTATCCTTTTTCCTTCATTTTTGGTGCAATATTTATTTGACTCAAAATTTGAGGGATCTTAGTCGGTAAATTATGGTACCTCTGTTAATAACAACACAGGGGAATTTTAGTCATAGCTACCTCCAGTCCTAATAACAGACCATAGGCAAATTTATTCATTATTTATGATTTGCTGCGTTAAATTATGCTAATTTTTCATACTTTTTTAAAATAATTGATAATTAAATCCATTGATAACAATTGATGTTTTGAATAAACTTTTGAGTAACTGGAGTGAAATGCAAATATTATATCGTTTCATGAAAAGCTTTGCACCGATTACAGCAATCAATTAAAACAATCGAATACAGTTGTAATCAGTTACATGTAATAATTACGTAGTAATCAACTACACAACTAACAGATGGTTAATATATGTAATCATGCTAGGCAATCATCACAATTACGAATTACAAGCGTTTATGATTATTTCTAATCACAACATGAAAACATAAACAAGTTATTATCATGATTATAGATATTTATTATGTAATCCCAATTCTATGTCACCATAATCATTTTCATTCAAATATAATGCAAGTAAGTAATCATGATTACCTTTATTCATAATCTAATAAGAAATCCTTAATGTAAGTAATATTCGATTACACTAGGAATAAATGTAATCATAATTTCAAGTGATTTTGATAACAATACAATAGCAATTTTAAATAATTGATTACTTTTAAGCAGAATACATAAATTGTACATATAAATTGTATGAGTTCCACTGTTTAGTTTACTAAATGAAAACACTTAACCATTGTATGCAAATGCTATTAGGAAGTCATATACTTATTGAGGTTTTACTACGCTGGAAAAATTCATTGCATTGAATATTATTAGGGATAAATTTTATTAGCTAAGTTTACTTATACCGCTTGTAAATACTTGTCGTTACATTGTTTTCTCTGTATTATTTTATCCTGGAACTTACTGGGTTTTTTTTCTGTAATTTACTGCATACTTTCTTTTAATTAACGAAAAAGTTCTGCTCCAGATAGAAAACGGAATTTTACATGGAATTACAGAAATTTTCTGCTTACCTTGAAGTGATTAACAAATTGTTTCCGTTGATCAGAGATTGAGGGAGCCACAGTCAGTGAAAAACAAAATCTATCCGGAATAGAAGATTTTGTCAGTATACTCAGCAATAGCTGACGGTAGATCGGCATTGTTCATTGTTATTATGTCATTATGATTCAAAGAAAATGGTTTGATTTTACTTAAAAATCACCAGATTAAAAATCACGGATTAATCCGTGGTTAGAATTATTTACCAAAAATTCCTTTACTAAATAATTTCCTTTGTTAATCTATACAGTTTTTCCATGTGCAAATCCATTTCGGGCAAATCCGTGGATAAAATTGTTTGCTAAAAATTTCTTTATTAATTTATACAATTTTCCATGTGCAAATCCATTTCGGGCAAATCCGTGG